TTTTTTTTAAAATGTTATTTGTGTTCCCTAAATTTTTTAGGAGAGCTTCCAGTGTGGAGTCCTGTGTTTCTCTGGCACCTTCTTGAGATCCTGTTAGGGCTGAGCAGTTTACAGACTGGGTTGTCCCTGAGTGAAATGGCAGCAAACATTTGAGAGGGTTTTTTAAATGAATGCCCTTTTCAAATAGCTTCTGAAAGCTCTGTGCTCATGGAGGGTGTATACTGTGCTGGCTGTGAGCAGGAAGATTTGAGAGTGCAATTAATATATGTTAATTTTTAGTACCAAACAATGCCCACAATTGTATCAGCACCGTCACTGCCTTGGGAGGCACAAGGATTTTTGTGTCATCTGGCAATTCTGGTATTGTGAGGAAGATTTTTATTTGTTCTTGACATTTTTCTTGAGAATTGTTTGACAAATATGCATGTGTGTACTTTTTTGTAACTACTGTGGTTTGTCCCGAGCTCCCTGAACCCATCAGGAACAATACAACCCTCTCGTCAGCCGAACTCCATCCCAGCAAACCAGCCTGGCCCATCCATGGAACTTCTCCACTGTGTCCCTGGGAAGCCAGGAATGGGAGGGGAGTGAAAAGAGAGAAAATGTAAAATTTTCTTTAAATGGAAATTTCCTACTATCAAAAGGTCGATTCCTACTAAATCTGACTGAAATTCCCCTTTAGTGCTGGACTTTCCTTGGCCTACAAGTAGGTTTCTGCCTTGTGCTGTCCTGTGTGGATTTGTGCCCACAGTTCTTGATCCTTCTCTGGGATTGTGAATCAAAGTGCTGCAGCAAGAGCCTGGAATGTTCCAGCTTCTTCCTTTCCGTGGCTGGTGGAGCAGTGGTTGCAGTAACCTTCAGCCTGGGCTGCTCTGCTTTCCCACACTGCCCAACTGTGACCTTCCTAGGCTGGGCTGGGTTTAACTTCAGGGAGCTGTATGATAGCAGACACCAGGAATTAGATTAATTTACTGGGAAAAACTCACCTGTGCATTTCCAAACAGGGAAGGTTCTCAAAATGGCTTTTCTCAGGCATAAGGCAGGTCCAGCAGGTTAAATACACACAGGCCCATCTGCAGCCCAGGTCTGTGCTGCCTTCTAGAACAGGAGTTGGTGATTATCAGGGCTGAATAATCTTGTTTGCATAGGAGTGCTGGAATATGATTTTTGGTCTCAAACGTGGTTTATGGAAATTCTAGCTTCCCATTACTTTAGGGCTGATAACAACTGTCCTCTCGCCAGTAATTAGCACCTAGCCTCACAGCAGTGTGGGAGGGTCTGTGTGCTCCTCACGGGGCTGGTTTGCTCTGAGGGAGGTTTGCTCTGCCTTTGGGCTCAGCCTGGGGCAGGGTTTGGGTGGGTGGAGGCAGCAGGATGCCTAGGGGGGACAGATCCCATGCCCGGTGCTGGTGCCCACAGCTCCCAGTTCTGCTGATGGTGCTCTGAGAGTGTTTTGGGAGCCTGTTCTGCTGTCACCAAGGCTGTGTGGGGAGGAGGATGGGTAGTGTACAGTCACACATCCTCCATAAGTCATTCCAGTAGGTGACTGTGGGGAATTGCACCAAACTTGGGCTCTGTTCGCTGGGAGAACTTGAATTGCCTCACTTTGTTGTTTCTTAGCTTCTCAAGCTCGGAGTGATCCATAGGCTCTTACAGGGACTTTGCAAAGCAGCCACGTGTTCTGTTCCGTGCCCAAAATCTGCCCTTTGGGGGCCCATTCCTGTGTTTATCCTGGGTCAGGGTTCAGAAGGAAGTTGCTTACAGCTTTGGTGCTTTGCAATGGAGGCACAGCAAGCCTGACCCTCCCTGCTCTTGCAAAACACTTTAAAACCAGCAATGATTTGTTTCCCTGGGGGTGACTGGGGATTAGCAACCAGCCTGGGATTTTTTTTTTTGTTTTGGTAAATGAATATGTTTTAGCATGAGGTTTTATTTGCTTGTTTGTTTTTTTCCTGTTAGGTTTGTGCTGGCTGTGGGCAGTGCAGTCTTTGATGCCATGTTCAATGGTGGAATGGCCACAACTTCTACAGAGATTGAGTTGCCTGACGTGGAGCCTGCTGCCTTCCTAGCTCTGCTCAAGTAAGCTACTTCTAAAGTGCAGGAGAACTGGGATGCACAGATTTATTGGAGAAAAAGATGCTTTTAATGAAAACTGGGAGCTGTTTTGTGGAGTGGAGGTTGTTAACTTCCGAAATAAAATCCTTCTTTGATCTGTTCAAGGGTCAGTGATGGTGTTAAATCCCTCTTTTCCTGGGTAAAAGTCACTAGAGTTCTGTTGGGTTTGTGCTACTGTACAAAAAAGAAATATATCCCTCTTTTCCTGGGTAAAAGTCACTGGAGTTCTGTTGGGTTTGTGCTGCTGTACAAAAAAGAAATACAAAATATGTAATCAGACATTTTAATGTAAATTTTGATTCATTAATTGGTTTGGTTTGATCCAAATGCTCTTGAAGAGAGGAGGGGAAAAATGCTCTGAAAGTTCTGTAAGTTACAAATACTTGGAGCTTGGTTAGGTTATGAGCAAGTTCTAACAGGTAATCAGGAATATGAAATCAGTGTCAGCCATTCCCTGTGGCTTTTATTCCTCTTCGAGAGAGCTGGGTTTGAATTTCCATTTCCAGTGTGTGTTGCAGGTCTGTGTGCTGGGAAAGGGCTGCAACATTCACTGATTCCTTTAGGCTCGGCTGGTGCTGTACAACATCCAGCAGCAATCCTGAATGGATGCTGGAAAGGCATTGTCTTCTTTCTATAGGATTTCTGTAACCTACTTCCAGGGCTTTCCAGTCCTGTGCTCTTGACTCGTTCCCTGCTTGCTTCCTATTGGGAACAGTGACTATATATAGCTCTGGCACACTTTTTGCTTTATCCTCACAAAGTGCTTTGGTCATGCCTGTGCTATCTGAGAATATTTTAAGATTGATCTTGGCTAGGATGAAAGGCCATAAATAATAGGGAGCCCCAAGCCCCCTCCCTTTTGGCTCATTTTAAACCAGACACCAGCACGTGGGGAATCCCTCTGATGGCTGTGTGACTAGGTGGATCTCTCTGGAGTAACTATCTCTAAATTTTAGGGAGACTCAAATATCCAGTGAATTAGGGGCAAAAGTCATGTTGTTTGTCTGCCAGTGCTAAGATTTCAGTACTTGATTAAGCTGATTTCTGCAGAGAACCATGATCTGAAAGGACTAAGTGATGAGTTCAGGTGGATTTCAACAGAGATGTTTATATTTTTCATAGAAGAAATTGCGTGTGGATTACCTCAGTGCCTCTGAGTGTGCAGTTATGCTGCAGTAGCTGTGTCCATGGTCCAGTGTCATCTTGGATGCTTGAGTCTAGAATTGAACTGTCACTTTTAAGGTGCTTAGAGCTTAAACGTGCCAGAGGAAGTCTGGTTGTTGTGTTCCAGAAGGAGGCTTACCAAGTACATGGTATGAACCTTCCTGGACTAAAACCAGTTCCCCCCTGATCTGGAATGGCAGCTGATCCTTACATACATCTCTGGACTTGGTCCAAGCCATGATCTAATGCTGTATGATCAGGAGCTTATCCAGGGACTAAGTGCCCATCCTGAGTGTTCTGCAGAAGGTCCCTTTTGGATGTTAGATTGTGATAGTGTTTTGGGGCTCGTGGCCTTTAACAGGTCTGTTGTAATTGTGCAAGAGATCCTTTGTTATTATTCTCATGGCAACCCAAAGATAAGGCACTTCTGATTGTCTGAGTTTGCAGTCTAAATGTTCTTTTAAATTAATGCTGCACGTTGTCACAGTTTGATCCTCTCTTGTTGTCCCTCTCAGCACACACTGAACTGGTGTAAACAGAAATACAGATGTAGTCATTGGAGTAACTAAAGAGTTGGTTTTAGCGCCACTGAGTTCCTTTAATTTGGGGGAAAAAAAAGGATTGTTCAATGCAAATGGGGCTGGGAAGGGATATGTGCTAAATACATTCATGAACCTGTGGCCTGATGCTGCTATTGACAGATTCTCTGGAGCAGCACAAAAGCTGCTTTCAGCAGTGAGAGTGCTTCCCTTCCTCTGCATCCCACTGTTTGTGCTTCCCTGAATGGCATCCTGTAGCTGGAGGAGCAGAAGTTCCACTGCTGCAGATGGGAATGCAGCCTGGCATGCCCCTGGCAGAGCCCTGCTGCTGTGTGGAGCCTCCAGGAACAGAGGCCGCACATGTGGCTGTGTCCCCTCCAGAGAAATGCAGGAGAAGAAGAGGCTGGAGTTTCCAAAATACCCATAGAATAGGAAGGCCAAGCACAGTTAGCACACTCAATATTACATCTCTGTGCTTCATGCCTTTGAGATCCCAATTGGCAAATGTTCCGCTGGTTGAGGGAAAACAGTAAACAAAAACTCTGTTCAGCCTGGAGAAGAAAAGGTTCCATGGAGACCTTAGAACCCCTTCCAGTGCCCAAAGGGG